AGACAGCAATTAGGCAGGCTGACACAATACACTAAAAACAACATAACACCCAAATTAAAGAAACAACTCAAAAACATTTTCAAGAAAATCAAAACACACACAAAACATGAACATCACAACATACACACTACAGAATACATGGATACACTAAAACAGAAACTCGCAGCCAAAGCACATAGACTCAAACGATACAAAACATGTACACTACGAAAACAACAAAATAAATTATTCACGAACAATGAAAAACTTTTCTACAGACAAATCAGTACCAAAACAAACACTGATACACAGCACAGTGGCACACCAACAGAAAAAAAACTCACAACTTGTAAGGTACTATATTATTTTTCCACCCTCTCCAACGATTATCGACACGACTGTATGCCGGAAATAGCCGTTACCTAACGGGTACTTTACACGGATTTGCGTTAACGTGCCAGGCCTGGACTTTAAGCATGCACCGAATTAAATAATGACCAAGTTTGTCAATAATAAATTAAATATTTAATTAATTTCTAGTAATAAACTATTTACAAAATTTAGTAAAAATCAAATAACAATTTATTCAATGAAAAATCAGTAAGAATCAACCCGACAAAACTCAAATCAATCTAGTTTCTAACTTAAATCTATTTCCCTTTGGAATTCGACAAAATTCAAAGACTTAACTTATATACAATAATAATTCTTAAGAAATTAAAGATCCTAATCATTACCTCAATATACTAGGAACCTATTTCCTCAAATCTCAAGACTTTCTCTGTTCGTCGATCCACAAATCGAATAACTTCAAAATCGCCTTGGAACTATTTGATCCTATCGGACATTTCTCTTGTTCACTGCTACAAAGCTCACCAAGCTCGTTGCTATCAGAAACTCACCTCGTCCGTCTTCACTTGAGGTTCAGTCTTTATACTGTGAGATGACATCACAATTCTGAGTGAGATCACTCCCCTCATTTACATACTTATTTGCTAACAATAAATTTTCTATTTGTCTGGCAGCCTAGTTTTCAGACAATACTCGCTAATCTTTTACATTATTCTTTTGACAATTTTGGGGATGTTTTTTATTCTTTAAGGTTTAGTGAGTCCCTAAGCTGTGCTTGTGGGGTCTCCCCCTTTTCTCGGTGCGGACCTACTTTTTTCCGCTCGGGAGCGCAAGTGTGTGCGAGTTTTTTCTACGGCGCTTTTCTCTCATTGGTGAGTTGGTTTCTCTTCTATTTTTAAGTTTCTAAGGTGAATGGTGAGGAAACCTTCGTCCTAACAAAACATAAGCCCCAAACAAAAATATAATAAAAAGCAAAAATAAAAGTAAATAAAAATAATGCTCAGACTTGGTTCCTTACAAACTTACTGGTCTTCTCTTTGGTCCAATGCTATTACACACAATGCTGATGAGGCTGGATCGAGGAGGAAAACAGAAACTTGCACAACATACCAACTATGCCCTGTGCTGAAATAAACATACACAACATCTGCTACGCTGTTAACAGAACACACAACTGGAAGACACCTGGTGTAGACAACATTCACAATTTCTGGTACAAAAAATTTACATCATTGCACCAGGAACTAACCAAACATCTAACACACATCATCATCAATCCACAAGACATGCCAAAATTTCTTACTCAGGACATCACCTACATGAAACCTAAAAACAACAACATCACATACCCCACACAATACAGACCAATTACATGTCTTCCAACACTCTACAAATTATTGACATCCTGTATCACAAACAAAATATACAAACATGTTGAAGAACATGACATTCTTACAGAACAACAAAAAGGTTACTTTAGAAATCACAGGGGATGCAAAGAACAATTACTCATAGATTCAGTCATTTTATGGCAAGCACACAAACAACACAGAAACACATACATTGTAAAGTACTATATTATTTTTCCGACTTTCCAACGATTATCGACACTACTGTGTGCCGGAAATAGCCGTTCCCTAACGGGTACTTTAATCAAACGGTTTCCAACTCTAACAATTTGATATTCAAACACAAATTCTGGGAAAAATATTGTTCAGTCTTTAATTGAACAAACACAATCCTCTAGAGAACACACTTTTGATCAATATTTTTAGTTTTATTTCACAAGACATAAAAAATTTTTATGGTAAAAATAAAATATGATGATGTTTTTATTCGATGAAACGAAAGAAATGCGTGAAATATACATCATATTTGTGAACATTTATCTCTAGGGGATTGCCAAAAATTTTCTTTTTACAAAAGGGGTCGCAGTCGAAAAAAGTTTGCGCACCATGGATTTATTGTATACTACTTGGACTTTGTGATGTTATTTTTTGTAGATAATATAATAATTGTTATAAGACATTGATCTTATTAAACATATATATAAAATATATATGTATTCATATATTTTAGTTTAAAAGAATATAAAAAAAATATACATACTTTATTNTGCAATGCCCTCAACAGATGTGAGGAATCAACCTAGCCTTGGTGTTTCTGTGGCAATGCATCCACAGACCACAAAGGCTGGAAAACCACGCCAAAGGATAAAATGGACAACAGAAATGAACAAGTTTATCATCCGTAGTTGCTACACCAACACAAGAATCGAAACAAACATGACAGCATACAGACAACAACTACACCATAGATTCACACAACAGTATCCTCACCTCACTGTCACTGAAGAAAGTGTTGTCGATCAAAAAAAAAACAATTATACATAACAACCTTATCCCACAAACAACACTTGAACTTATCAAACAACAACAGACAGAAACATTTAACATTAATGAAGATCACGTAACCTGTCAGGATAATACAGCAACAAGCATTGATAATAGTACACATACAACAACTACCACTAATGAAACTACAGGCATTTCCTCATCCATCACTGATAACATAGACATAGAATTAGTTANCATCAACAGACAGAAACATTTAACATTAATGAAGATCACGTAACCTGTCAGGATAATACAGCAACAAGCATTGATAATAGTACACATACAACAACTACCACTAATGAAACTACAGGCATTTCCTCATCCATCACTGATAACATAGACATAGAATTAGTTAATATGCTCTCACTTATATTTCAGGAAACACTCACTAAATACACTGGTATAGATCCCACACAAAAACCACGAATACCAAAAATCAATACGTCAAAGGTAATAAGAAAAACACTAAATTATGTAAACACTCACTTACTACCAAACTACATTCATTCAATTTCTACACTCTCAGACATTCATACATTAGTTTATGAAGGGGCAGTCACAGTAGTAACACACCATGGACTGAAAATACAATCGCAGACGAACACACACAAAACACAATTCTCTCACAAGCCTGCCTGGCAGAAAAGAATAGAAACACAAATAAATGACATTAGACACCAATTAGGCAGGCTGACACAATACACTAAAAACAACATAACACCCAAATTAAAGAAACAACTCAAAAACCTTTTCAAGAAAATCAAAACACACACAAAACACGAACATCACAACATACACATTACAGAATACATCAATACACTAAAACAAAAACTCACAGCCAAAACATATAGACTCAAACGATACAAAACATGTACATTACGAAAACAACAAAATAAATTATTCACGAACAATGAAAAACTTTTCTACAGACAAATCAGTATCAAAACAAACACTGATACACAGCACAGTGGCACACCAACAGAAAAAGAACTCACAACTTACTGGTCTTCTCTTTGGTCCAATGCTGTTACACGCAATGCTGATGCAGGCTGGATCAAGGAGGAAAACAGAAACTTGCACAACATACAAACTATGCCCTGTGCTGAAATAAACATACACGACATTGCTACGCTGTTAACAGAACACACAACTGGAAGACACCTGGTGTAGACAACATTCACAATTTCTGGTACAAAAAGTTTACATCACTGCACCAGGAACTAGCTAAATATCTAACACACATCATCNTGGTGATAAAGAACGCCCAATATGTGTCATTTGCAACAAAAAATTAGCAAATGAGAGCATGAAACCAGCTAAATTAAAAAGGCACCTGGAAACTAAACATAAAGAACTTCAAAATAAACATGCCGATTTTTTTCAAAGACAAGCTGAAAATCGGAAAATTCAAAGTGCAAATTTAAAGAAATTTACAACAATACCTCAGAAAGCATTATGAGCTTCTTTAGAAGTTTCTTATCTAATAGGAAAAACAATGAAACCCCATACAATTGGAGAATCCCTTATCCTTCCTGCAGCAACCAAGATGACATCAATTATGCATGGCGATAACTATGGAAATGAACTAAAAACAATACCATTATCAAGAGATACCGTGTCTCGGCGGATTTCCGAAATGTCACGAAATATCGAGTCAGAAGTCACAAAATGCATACAAAATTCATCTGTATTTGCTTTACAACTGGACAAGACTACTGATATTACTAAAATGTCACAACTAATTATTTACATTAGGTTTATTTTTAATGAAGATATAACAGAAACGTTTTTATGTTGCAAAAGTTTGAAAGGAAAAACAACTGGAGAAAAAATATTCGAAGTAATAAATGAATATTTTGAAGCAAAGTCCCTTACCTGGGCAAACTGTGTTGCGGTTTGTACTGATGGTGCTGCAGCATTAACAGGTTCAAATAAAGGGCTCAGAGGCTTAATTCAGAAAGTGGCGCCTCATATGGTATTTAATCACTGTATGATTCATCGGCAAGCTCTTTTTGCAAAAGATATGGATGAAGAGTTGCACAACATATTACAAGACGCTGTTAGTTCAATTAACTACATTAAATGCAACAGCCTCAACAGCCGTCTCTTTTCAATACTTTGCAATGAGATGGGCTCAACGTATGATAGATTACTGTTACACACCGAAGTCAGATGGCTTTCACGTGGGAAAATACTACGACGGATATTTGATTTGAGAAATGAAGTGTACATGTTTTTAATCGAAAAGAAACATAGATTGGCAAGTTATTATATCAATGAAGTTTGGCTAGGGAAGCTGAGCTACTTAGTTGATATTTTCGAAAAACTTAATGACTTAAATTTGAGCTTGCAAGGTGAGAATTCAACTATCATAACTTCATCAGTAAAATTCAAGCTTTTAAGAATAAGCTTAGTCTCTGGCAAACTGAACTGAATAAAAACAACACCGACATGTTCCCTTGCTTTAACGATTTTATCAAGGAAAATAATATAGATATATTTACATTTAAAAACATCATTTCCAATCACATTGAAAAGTTAAAGGAAAATTTTTCGAGNCTATGTGTAAGGATATCAACAATAATACTGTATAATGAATTATCTAAATTTTCTTGGCTCTAATATTATGAAAATTTAACAAGTTAAAAATAATACTTATCATCATAAAACCATGATGATGATAATATTTTATCAAAACAAAGCAACAATTTTTATGGCATTTATCATGGAAAATAGAATACAAACTGTATAATTGTTTTGTTTATGCAACTATCTCAGAGAGACAGAAGAATAGATAATACTTATTCCTTATTTTAATAAATAAATTCTGGACTTAATTCCAAGATATGTTGTTATTAAATTAACTACTAAAAAGAAAAGAGATAACAGATCCTTTATTTTATATAATAAAATATGATATATTAAAATATAAGTTTAAGACATTAAATAAATTGTAATTTCTGAATAATTCTTAATAAAAGCTTGTTAATTTCATGTAAAGAAATTATACAAAAAAACCAAAAATAAATGATATTGTATTACAAATATTTTACTAATAGAAGGTTAAATTTTTATTGATAAATATTATAATTTTATTTTATTTTAAGAACCTGAGATCATTATACTAATAAATTTAATTTACTTTTGTTATTATTACTGATTAAAGAAATTTAATCAATAATAATAAAGAAATTTAAATAGATTTAGAATAAGAAATAAATATACTTAAATTTTAGTTATTCTAAGTTATTATAATCATCATCTTGATTACATTTCCACAAATGTTTTGCAATAAGAAAATGTAATGATTAATATTTCTATCTATCTATCCAGTGACATCCTCTATACAGAGGGTTGCATTTGATGAACTATTCCTCTCCATGTTTCCCTATTCCAGGCTTCTCTTAAATCCTTTCCAGTCCAGTCCTTGATGTCATCTCTCCAAGTCTTTCGGGGTCTTCCTCTAGGTCTTGTCCCCTCCACCAGTCCCTCAATCACCATCTTTAGCAGTTGTCCTCCTGATCCTCTAGCCAAATGTCCAGCATATCGTACTTTTCTTTGTTGGATATTTATAAGCAACTCTCTCCTCAAGCCCAGCCTGCCCAAAACCTCCACATTTGTCAATTTCTCCGTCCAACTTATTATTTGCATTTTTCTCACGCACCACATTTCAAAAGAGTTAATTCTTTCCATCATTTCACGTGCGAGAGTCCATGCCTCGCATCCATATTTTAATACACTTCAGATCATTGTCCTTAGGATCTTTATTTTCAGTTTTATGTTAAGGCCTCTGTTTGTTAATATATGGTAAATCTGATAAAAGGCAGCTTTTGCTTTATTAATTCTGCTTTTAATTTCCGTATTACATCTATTATCACTCGTTATCCAGCTTCCTAGATATTCAAACTTTTTAACGCCTTCAAGTTCCTTATTTCCCATAACGATCTGGAATTCATCCATATCTTCACTCTTTGAAACCTTCATTACTTTTGTCTTCTGTTCATTTATTTTCATATGGAATTTCTCCAATCTGGTTTTGAACAGACGATTCAGAATTTTCTGTAATCCCTCTTTACTTTCACTCAGCAGGACTATGTCATCAGCATATCTTATGTTATTTATCAAGCATCCATTGATTTTCACTCCTTTGTTACAATCCTCAAATGCTTCTCGCATCATCCACTCATTGTAAATATTAAATAGCAGTGGCGAAAGCCTGCATCCCTGTCTCACTCCTTTTTCCACCCTTATCCATTTGGATTCTTCTTCATCAATTTTTATTATTGCTTTCTGATTTTTGTATAAAGCAAGAATAATTTTAATTATCTTTTTATCTATTCCGATTTTTTGAAGTATTTCATAAAACTGTGTGATTAACATTGTCAAATGCCTTTTCATATTAATATTTAGTAAATCTAAAATGTTATGTTAATAAAAAACAATTTTTTAAAATGAAATATTCAATAAGAAGCCAAAATATCTTCATTTAAAAAAATGAAATAAGAAATCTATTTCTTTTGTATATTCAGTTTCAAAATTAATATACATTAAATAACCTAAAAAATCAGCAACAATAATATTTTAAACAAAGTGCGAACATTTTTGCCTGCATTGAATGGGGATCATCAGACAACAAACTGTTGAGAAAACACTGGAGATAACTGACAGGTTGTCAGCTATCTCCAGCGTTTTCTCCAATGTAATCAATTGATTATTTGATTAATTGAATATGGGCCCAAAAACATGTTTCTCAACAAACTATTGAGAAACATGTTCATGTGACATATTTAGTTTCAGTTGTCCAATGCAAATCAGATAAGTATGTCAGATAATTTTTATATTATTTGAAATATTTAGTTAAGTTAAATAAAATTTTTCTACAGTGTAAACTTATTTGAACAAAAAGTTTAATTATATATTTAAATATTTTTATATTAAAGAGTTTCATAACTGATAAAAAAAATAATATGAATAAAAGAGAATGTAATTAATTGATTATTTGTTGTTTAAAATCAATTGATTGAATGTATTCATCACCTTCATTGCTAAAATGTCATTATTATTTTATAAGCATTATGGAAATTTCTGTCGTATATTATATAAAATGAATTATTATATAACCAAACAGCAGATAAAATTATATTTATTACAAGTGAAGAAAAGTTTAAGTTAAATTTCTGTAATCAGCTATACAAAATAAAAAGTGCAATTAAATATAGGTGCAATTAGAGTATACTGATTCTTAGTTTAGAATCAATAATTTGTAAACTTGATCTTCTGAAGAATTGTTTTTAAACTTTCTTCATATTTTTTTCATTGAAAACAAGTGGCTAACTTATTTTTTATTTGTTTTCATTTCCAGATGGTTGCCTAATGTAAAATGTAAAATAAAATTAATTATATACAAACAACATTAAACAAACTAAAAAATATGGGTTTAAAGCATATACCTCTTTATGTTTTAATAGAACTTTTTCAAATATAAAATAAATTACAATTTATAAAATAAAATAATTTNTGCCATTCTCAAAACACAGCTAAATGCAAAACACACAGTTAAAGCAATAAACACATATGTCATCCCAGTTCTCACATACTGTTTTGGAGTTATACATTGGACTCACACAGATCTCGAGCAACTCCAAAGAACAACACTTACGAAGCATAAACAACATCATCCTAAATCTGCCGCAGAAAGATTAACCATTCCACATAAAGATGGCGGACGTGGCCTGATTGACATAGTTAACCTTCACTACAAACAAATACAGTCACTGCAAGAGTTTTTCTACAGGAAACAACAAACACAATTACATAAAGCAGTAACTCTAGCAGACTCAAACAGCACACCATTAAACTTACACTCACAGCACACAGACATGACACAACACATAAAAAGCATAAACACCATCAAACAATCGTGGGCTCAAAAAGCACTCCATGGCAGGCATCCTTATGACCTGGCCCAGGATTTTGTTGACAAAACTGCGTCAAACAGCTGGTTAGATAGGGGATGCCTCTTTGGGGAGACAGAAGGATTCATGATTGCCATACAGGATCAGGTCATAAATACTAAAATGTACAGAAAACATGTACTCAAAGATACAAAACTCACAAATGTCACATCATGCCAGAAACTATACAACACATTACATCTGGGTACATGCTCTTGGCACAGACAGATTACTTAAATAGACACAATCAAGTAGTAAATATAATACACCAAGAGCTTGCAAACAAACACAAATTAAATTATTAGATATCCACAAACCATACTACAAATACATTCCACAGACAGTATTGGAAAACAACATGCACAAAATGTACTACGACAGAGCCATAATCACAGATAAAACAATTTACCACAACAGACCAGACATCACACTCATTGACAAACACAATAAAATCACATACATTATAGACATATCCATTCCAAACACTCACAATGTACAAAACACATACACTGGAAAAATTAGCAAGTACACAGAACTTGCCAGGAAATAAGGCATGTGTAGAGGATGGAAAGGGTGCTTATTGTACCTGTTGTTCTCTCCTGTACAGGTGTGATACCACAGACACTACACAAAATCCTGGGAACATTACAATTGAATAAAAATACATACATTACACTACAGAAGGCCACTATATTGAATACATGCCATATTGTTAGGAAATTCCTGAATACAGACACTAATATACTTATTTAATTTTAGTTTTGTTTTGGTTGCTATGCCTTGACTCTGGTCTGGCATATAGTACACAGCCACCTGTGTGAACCGAGTATAACCCACTATAATAATAATAATACATTTGGTAAATTTGTATTAGATTTATATCATTACTTTTGTATTACTTTTTAAAAAATTTTGTTAATATTTCCATTATAATTAAGATTTACAAAAATGTCATGTCAAAAGATTCAATCTGCATATACTTAGAAAACTATCATTAACTCATCGAAATAAAATGGCAAATGAATACAAACATTTATTTATTTTCCATTTTATTTGGATATAAAAATAAAATAAAATTTCTCCTTTTTTTTTTATTTTGAATTGAAGTATCTTTAAATTAAAACCTATCTTTATCTGAAATTCATTATCAGTGTTTCCATACAAACTCAGGATTATTATGTATTAAGTTATGAAGACTATAAAAACAAGTTGAGTCTTTAAAATCCTTATTAATTCTAATCAGAGACAGATAGTCATATCCTATCAAGAAAATATCAATGATTTTTTATTTTTGTTACTAGAAATGTCTGTATGAATGTTGAATGAGAAAGAAGAGGAAGTAAAGATTATTTACTTATAAACATTATTAGAGTAATTTAAATAAAATTGTGATGTTGTTATTCTAACCATTTAATATTATTATATTATAAGAACAGTTTATTAAACAGTTCTTTTAATATTTTAATAAATTAGAAATTTAGATTAACTGATACTTTTTACTATAACTTGTGTTTAAATACATATTCTATTTGACTATTAAATTTACATTGATTGCTACTAAATAGATAGCTCATTAGTTCAGTTTCTTTTTATTTTATTTTTTCTAGGCAGCTAACCTGCTAAAAAGCATAGAAGGTTTGGTTACTCTTGTAGTTTCAAATCCTCACAAGTCATCAACTACATCATTAATATCAAATGAAAATGAAGATAGTTTAGATGCAGAGTTACCACAAAATGACAATGTTTTAAAAACAGATATTAAAAAACAAGAAAAAAGTAACTTCATTATATTTTTTCTGAATTTAATTTTTATTATATTATATTAGTAAGAATAAAATGTGCCATACATTATATTTTATTAATCTAAATTGTCTTAGTTTTATAAGAAAATATAACTTTATTACAAATACAAATGTGAGAACCATTTTGTTGTGTCTCTACTTTTGTAAGTTTTAAGAACTGAGTTAAAAGATTTGAGATGTATTAGGATAATAGACATAAAACAAATTATGTTTGTTATAGAAGTGTTGATGCTGAATGGAGATGAGTCAACATGAAGAAATGATATTAAAATCTGAAAACATGCAAAATTGGAGATATAACAAAGTGATTTTCAGTTGACCATATGTATAAATTTAAATTATCTTATAATCCAATGGTATTTGATTTCTTTTTGTTTAATTTTTTTTCATTTTTAGAAGAAAGGATGGAAAAAAAAAGAAATTTATTTTTTTATATGATATAGCATTAATTATTAAAGATAGTTTATAGATTAAGAAAGTTAAGATGATTTCTAATTAATCATACCAAAATGGAAGATATGTGTACAGATAAATTGTCAAAATGAGAATTAAATCTTATCTATTTTTCACAAAAAAATGAATTATTTTTTTACTGTATTTAAATTTGTTCACAAGACTTGAAAAATTCATCTTACAGAAATGAAAGAAATCATAATTTTTCTGGAGATTGAGGAACAAGGCTAATATTATAAATGAAGTATTCAGTGAAGAAGTGGTACAAGTAGAAAAAAGTGTAACTTGAATGTGTTAATGATAAAATTTAGCATTTAATAAAAATATAATTTTTTAACCAATTAAATAAATAAACAGGTATATTTATTGACATATTACAGATATTTATTATTGTTTCGTTTTAAAATTAATACTTTTTTGTTTTTTTAATAAAAAAAACACTTTTTGTCACTTGTACTACATTTTCATTTACCCCTTCAAATATTTTCATCAATTGATTAAATATCTCAATTGCAGGATTCTCCAAACAGCTGTATTTATAATGTTGGCAAGAAATAAACTTAATTTTTTTTTCTTGATTAGTTGCCTATGGTAACAGCATTGTTTAATACTGTAAAATGTGATAATCAAATGGTTGGTGAAAATAATTGATATAACTCTCTGATATTATATCAGTTCAATCTGAAATAATCAGGGAAAATATAGTAAAAAAAATAATAGTTTTCAGTATCAGTATAGAAAATCAAAACAACTTAGCAAGTTTTTTGATGTTGGAACTATTATAATAAACATTAATGTTTTATAATACCAGAATCAAAAACATCTGTTAATGAATATTTCATATTGCAGTAAGCTTAAGCATAAAAATTAAGCAGAATAAGAAGATTAATGTTTATTTATTAAATATTGTCTGTGCTAAATATGTAAATATGATAATTTTCCAGTTTTGTTTTTTGAATTATAATTATCAAATTATAAATTATAATTATTTTTTTTATATAATCATTTTTTATATAATCATTTCAAATTGTTTTTTTTTTTTATTTTTTTAATAATCATTCTTTTAGAAAAATGAAAAGTTTTAAAATATGTTTTTAATTCCTATATTTATAAACTTGTTTTTAAAGTATTGGAGACAAATACAAATAAAAATTTGATGTCTTCATACATCTTTGCTATTCAGTCACCAAATGAGAATGATATGATGCTGATGAGAGAGTGTCTGGTTGGATCTTTATATTTTTTGTTTACACATATATACAGCAATGTCCAATGTATGTACAATGTTTTTACAGCTCGACATCAATCGAAAGTCCAGTTCATTTTTGTTTGTGTTGGTCACTTGTTCAATCATCCATTCTCAGTAGTTGTTGGTTCGAAAGTAAGTGTCCAGTTCAAAGTTCGCTTTTCTCTTCTTTCCTGCATCCTCTATTGGTCCGAATTGGCACATTGCCAATGGGCACTACACATCCTTTACAATCTAGATGCCAGAAGGACTTTTAATCAATTTATATATTCATAAGCAGAAAAGAGCCTCAAAGTAAAGATCGACTCTGCTCATTTTAATTATGTTCCTGTGTTATGAAAAATGTATTAAGACATCAAATTTTTATTTGTATTTAGTGTTCAGTCTGTTAAAAATATATTTTATCCTGGACACTACACAAAATCCTGGGAACATTACAATTGAATAAAAATACATACATTACACTACAGAAGGCCACTATATTGAATACATGCCATATTGTTAGGAAATTCCTGAATACAGACACTAATATACTTATTTAATTTTAGTTTTGTTTTGGTTGCTATGCCTTGACTCTGGTCTGGCATATAGTACACAGCCACCTGTGTGAACCGAGTATAACCCACTATAATAATAATAATACATTTGGTAAATTTGTATTAGATTTATAACATTACTTTTGTATTACTTTTTAAAAAATTTTGTTAATATTTCCATTATAATTAAGATTTACAAAAATGTCATGTCAAAAGATTCAATCTGCATATACTTAGAAAACTATCATTAACTCATCGAAATAAAATGGCAAATGAATACAAACATTTATTTATTTTCCATTTTATTTGGATATAAAAATAAAATAAAATTTCTCCTTTTTTTTTTATTTTGAATTGAAGTATCTTTAAATTAAAACCTATCTTTATCTGAAATTCATTATCAGTGTTTCCATACAAACTCAGGATTATTATGTATTAAGTTATGAAGACTATAAAAACAAGTTGAGTNTTTATTATTTTTATTTATTGTTATAGTCAGTCCTCCAGAACCACCGCCTAAACCTCTTCATTTATCTGTGAAGTCTCCATCTACAGTTGCTCCTACGATTCCTACATCTGCAGGATGTCTACAACATATTTCCACATCCAAATTGTCAACAACACCTAAATATAAACTGTTGCCAATGCCTCCTATAAATATAGATGATGATGCATTATCATCCTCATCATCGTCATCACAAGAAACAATCAATACTCAACCAAATCCAAAAACTTGTGAAATTATTCCAGGACAAGAGGTAACTATTGAAATTTGTAAAGAAAAAATGGGATTAGGACTCAGTATTATTGGAGGCTTTGATACACCATTGGTAAGTTTAAGAATAATTCTTTTTGCTTTTCTATCCATACTAACATATAAAGTAAGATTGTTTGTTTGTTTGTTTGCTGTAGGTAATCTTAGAATCTACTGAACTGATTTTTAAAATTCTTTTGCTATTGGAAAGCTTATTCTTGATGAACTTACTGTTTTTATATTAAAAATGGAAAATGCACAAAAAATATATTTTTACCACAGCATTAGTCTTTTATCATCATTTGTCTGTTCCATTCAAGATCAATATCGTTTGCCACCTGGGTTGACTTTTCTAAACCTATCTATTTGGTTTCAGTTCTGATTTGTTCAGTTCAGATAGTTGTGTATATGCTTTATTTATATTGTCTTGGTTGTTCATTTCTTAAAGTAATACTCTGATGTTATCAAACACTTAAAACTATAATGAGCAAATTTACTTCCCTTAGATGAAGCAACTTTTGTATGTGGTCTATAGTATTTTTGTGTGTTCATTGTTTTAGTATTAAACCTACTATATCATTATTTAAAAATAAGAATTAGTCTTATGTTATGAGATATCTCCCTACATAAATTGAGTTTTTTTATATACAGTAGAGCATCGATTATCCGACTCAATTGGGGACTGGGGTTGATTGGATAACTGAAAAATACGGATAACCAAAAAATATGAAAAAATACATTATTAGTATAGTATATTAGTATATCGCTATTAACCTACTTCGCGTTGAATTTTCATCGATGTTAAGCCTAACAAAAATTTTTTTTAAATAATAATTGTCGCTATTGTATCGTTAAAAATTAGAAAATTAAGCCTCATTTAAATACTGGCTCCCTTTCATGGTCGAGCCATGTTGCCAGCTAAAACCATAAAAATACTATTAAACTAGCCAAGACATAGCCAAATAGCGGACATTTGAATTTGCCGACTAGAATGGTCAGTTAACCGATGTGATGGTTGATCAGGGGGTGAGATAATTGATGCTCTACCGTGTATATATATATTGTTTTTATCTCCCCTATAAACTCCTAAACTTTTTGACCAATCTGGACCAAACTCTACATAGTTACTTTCTGGTACCCTAAAGGAAACATGGACTATCATAAAACTCTGATTCTTTGCTCCTTCTCTCTGATTTCATCCCCTACTGCCAAACTTTCAAACGTTTTGAGCAGTGTGGACAAATTTTGCATAGTTACTCTCTGCCATTCTGCAGGAACAGATCAATAGAACAGATTTATTTGATTCTTAACAATGTTAAATAAAATTTTTTAGTTTAGATATTCTTTGGGAGGAATATAACCATTACAGCTACTGCCTGAGAAATGCAATGGCCATTCAGTTTGATATTAAAGTAAAACTTTCATTAATTTAATTTTTATATCAGCAAAAAGTAGACATTGTAACAACGAAATGATTTTATGACAACTAGAATTGTGAAAGTATTAATGTAATACTGTAATGCATGCAAATTTATTGGCTTTGGTAATTACTGGTAAAACAGTAGATTTTCAAAACATTACAGTAATTTTTAAACTTTGACTTCAAATGCAAAAATGCATTTGGAGTCAAAATTTTTCTTTTCAGAAAAATTGGTTCTGTAGAGTGCATTCTTTAATGGGTTGAAATGATGATAGTTGAAAGGTTAAAAAGATCCATTGTTTAAAGAGGTGAGGAAGAATGGTACACACCAATTTTTCAATGGACTGCCACATGTGTAGACTGGTTTAGGGTCAGGGGAGAAGAACTTCATTAATGTTTTTTGTCTGGTCAAACTTTACAGATGTAGACCTTCAGAATTGCCCATACCATTCTGAGTTAACTTTGGTACTAGCTTCCAAGAAATCCACAAGATCCATATTTGGCTTAGAACTTAGTCATCATAACTTTACCAACAGAAGGCTGACTTTTGAACTTCTTTTACAGCAAACTTTGATTTTCTCACTCCACTGACACTCTCTTCATTTCAGGTGTCTGATGTTGAATTCATATGGTCTTATGACTATGCATTACAGAAATACATCTCCTTCATTCTCACAGCCAGTTCTGTATAGATGCTTTCCTTGCCTTTTTTATAATCTTGTGTCAGTATTTTCATGATCTACTGGAAACAAATCTTGTTACCTAGTTTATTTACAATGACTATCTTTCACAGCTGGTTTTTCTATATGATTGTATTGTATAGTTCATATATATACAGTCGTGTGCAGAAGTTTAAGACCAGTAGCTGATTTTTTGTATTTTAAAACATAGCATCATTTACACAGAATATTGTACTGTATCATTTTATGTGTTGAATGCATCAGACACTTTTGACTGCTATAAATAACCACCCCCATCTCACTCATTGCCAGTTGTTTTGTGGATTTAATCATTGTAATCAGTAAAAACCCATCACTTACTGTTGCAAAAGGGCAGAAATAGTGGCCCTGCATAAAGTTGGCTTTTCTGAACGTGAAATAGCTAAAAGGGTACATGTGAGTAAGAATGCTGTTCATCAAGCTGTCAGTAAATTTAACAATTCAGGAAAATACACAGACCTGAAGAGAAGCGGTCGCCCAAGAAAAACGAGTGCTCATGATGATCATGTGATCCGAAGGATGGTAGTGAAATCTCCAACAACCTCCAGGAAGAAGATTAAGCATACTCTGGCTACAAAGGGCACCAACATCAGTTTGAGTACTATTTCAAGATGTTTGACCAAAGATTTTGCTTTATTATTTTACAAACCAGTTAGGAAACCTTGTCTTACCCCAAACATGAAAAAGAAATGACTGACTTTTGCCCAGAAACATAAGAACTGGACAGTACAACAGTGGAGTGCAGTGTTATTTTCTGATGAGTCAAGTATCCAGCAATTTTCTGCTCTTGCTAGAAATGTTCACCCCCTAATGGGAAGGAGATATGAGAAAAGATATACGAGTCCAACCATGAAACATCCTCCAAGCCAGATGATATGGGGTGCAATGTCTGTGTCTGGTACTGCTATTCTGTATTTCCTGTCGCCTAAAACTACTATGAATGGAAGTCAGTGCCTTAATTTGTTACGTGATAAGTTGAAACTTCACAGGCATGTTCATCAATGTTCCATTTTTAGGCATGATGGTGCTCCATGTCACGGGTCAAAAACTGTTAGGGACTATCTGACGGCGGAGCAAATTCAGGTGCTTGACTGGCCAGGTAACAGCCCAGATTTGAACCCAATTGAGAATCTGTGGTGTACTTTAAAAAATAAAGTGGCAGAAAAGCAACCATCAACTGCTACAGAACTTGTTGAAGTCATAAAAAATGTCTGTAGTACAGAGATTTCTCAAGCCTACTGTCATTCTCTGATCTATAATATGCCTAACAGGATTGCAGCAGTGATTAAAAACAAAGGAGGTGCTAAAAAATACTGAGTTTAATTTCAATACTTCAATAAAAATACTTGTAAGTCCATTTTGTTGTTCTTTTATGGGTGGTCTTAAACTTTTGCACATGACTGTATATATACTCACATCCACAAAATCATTACCATAAACGTTTCTGAGATACATTTGGATTTTGACAAGTAAAAATTCAGTAATTGCTCTCTGCTTAGTGTGTACTTTATAATTGTAATATCTGCCATTTTGAAACATCTGTGGTTGTACTTATGAGACCTATCACAGTGCCACTCAGTATGGTGAAACTAGAGAGTTTTAGTAACCACTTAGTGATGCATACCACAATCTATTATACCCAATTTGAAAGGAAAAACATATCCTAATACTACTCTGCTTAATTCTGAATCTTCTATAATAAATTGTAGTAAATTTTTACTCATCTAAATCTATGTATAAATTTTAAGAAAAATTTCAGTTTTTTTTTTTTTTCTCTCTTTCTTATATTAACATATAAAAATTTAGATGCTTAATATAAGAAAGAAAAAAATTTACATGCACTTTAATGGATCTAAAATATATTATACTTATTATAAATACTTATTCTATTATACTACTTCAAATGCTTATTATTATTCTAACTTGATATATTATATATTTTTAAACCAACAGTTTCAAAAATATGAAAAAAAATCTGATGATGATACATTTTTATACTTAACATTAGGCTTTTAAATTAAATTGATAATGGAAAAATGCTTTTCATTAGTATTAAGATATAATTTATAGAATTTTTAAAGATAAAATTTTTCTAAGGGGAAATATATATATATAGGTCCTGTAGCTTAAAGTCTGGCTTATATACTTAGGCGGTTTTTTTTTTCAATCTCCAATGGACGATAAAACAAAGACAAATGTTAATAACAAAATAAATTTATTACCAAAAGTTAGGTACAAACATGGTTACTTTTCGACATAATTACTGTGAAGATTGAGGCATTTGTCTGTCAGTGGATGAGCTTTGAAATCCCCTCTTCATAGAATGTTTCTGTCAGTGATTGAGATGGGCTTTAACGTTGTTTTGAAGATCGTCCTTAGTCTCAAACCTCTGCCCTACTAGCCAAGTTTTCAGTTCAGGAAAGATGTGGAAGTCTTCACACACTAAAGGTGTGAAGACTTTCACCTTTTAGACTTCCACTCAGCTTGGAACTTTTTAAACATCCAGCGTACAGCCCCAATTTAGCACTGAGCGACTTCCACCTCTTTTTTGAACTAAACACATGGCTAGGAGAGCAAAGGTTTGAGGCTAATGATGATTTTCAAAACAACGTTAAGGCCCATCTCAATCACTGACAGAAACATTCTATAAAGAGGGGATTTCAAAGCTTGTCCACAGATAGACAAATGCCTCAATCTTCACAGTAATTATGTCAAAAAGTAACCATGTTTGTACCTAACTTTTGGTAATAAATTCATTTTGTTATTTACACTTGTTTTTGTTTTATGGACAATCGCAGGTTGAAAAAACCGCCCTCGTATGTATGTATAAAATGATTTTTTAAAACTAAGTTTTGATAAAATTCCAGATGATTTATTTTAGACATTTAATTTAATATGTATTGTTTGATATTTTTATACTTCAGGGTGTTGTTATGATTCATGAAATTTATCCAGATGGTGCTGCAGCTGTAGATGGCCGTCTTATTCCTGGTGATCAGATTATGGAGGTGATTATTGAAATTACATACAGTAGACCCCCCTATAACGCTTAGATACGTTCCACGCTAACCGAAAATTACGTTGTAGGAATGATTAAATACATGAGCCAATCGCAGCCCGATAGGTGGGAACTTTACGGACTAAGGCTGTTCGAAAGGTTTTCTTCTATAAAATTAACCGATTCTAGACTAATTCCACTCAACATTTCCAAAATACGTATAATTTTTTGGGAATAATCTGTATAAACTATGCTATAAACAAAAAATTGTAGGATTACTTACACCGTTCGACTACGCCGTTGCTTAAAGCTGGTTTTCATCGCGGAACAGCACGCGAAACGACGGCCGCAATTTCTGATAACGAATTTTTGGCGGAAAAATAACTTGACCTTTGGAGACATCATTAATATAAATAATTTTTATGGCCGTTGAATAAGAAGTGTTTCTTTCACAAGAAATGTATAAAATTAGTGCTGTATTAGACTTACGGTACCTAATTTACATACTGTGCAGACGATAATAAACTCAACTTACTAGCCTAAAATCTCCGTAGCGTGTTGCCAGGCGGCAGAAAGCATATATATAATTATAATAAAGTTACAATAAATTAAGTTAATATATAATTATATATACAGTACCTAATTTATATATAATTAATATATAATTATATGTACAGTACCTAATTTATATATAATTTATATATAATACTAAACAGACGATAGCAAACTCAATTTAGCCGCTCCATAGCGTGGCGCAGGGTCGGAGGAAAGTAGTTCGGCTGCTCATCCACTATTGGTCCAGACTCTATCAATCTTGTCGCGAAACGACGTTATAGGAGGTATTTTATACGAAAGTTTCTACAATTTTTTCGCTACGTTATAGGAATTCTCGTTATAGGAACGTACGTTATAGGGGGGTCAACTGTATTTCATATCTAGTTATAAATTAAAAATAATTGTTATAGTGCAGTTTTGGTTTTATAAATTAATTAATATTATAATTATTTAATAAAACTGAAAACAGATTATAGACCATTCAGAGAAAGGTTTTGTGATAAAAATATTGTTATACATAATGCAAATTTATTAGTTTTTTTGTAGTTATATTTTTTATTTGTAATTTACTTTTGTTGAGAGACAATTAAAATTTGACTAGTGTTTTTAGTTTCTTAGAATAAATAAACATAAGAAGCATCATTGCTCTCTTCTACATATTAGGGATATTTCTTTTGTCTTAACTATTTAATTAATTTCAAATTTTCAGAAGTAAACATATTATCATCATTGAATTTTCTTTGTTTTCCTTACTATCACAACTTTAACATTTTTATTACTAATTAAAATGTAAAGTGAAATCTCTATTGTTAATCATTACCTAATAATATTATTTGAATATCTATTCTATTTTCTTGAATATACTGACAAGTTTCTTAAAAATAAAGAAAACTGTAAGCTTGTTTTATTACTGATATTAAGAAATTGAAAAATTATACAATTGTATAATTTCTTGATTATAAAATATATAAATTTATAAAATAATCTAATATTCTCCTCAACATATAATATATAAAAAATAAAGCTTCTTTTAATGCAAGGATGACCAACACAAGGCCCATTGTTTTTGACCTAGTTCCAAATTTGACCTAGCTCCGCGGGCCGCATGCGGCCTGCGGAGCTAGGTCAAATGAACATAAATGTTAACTTTATTGTACATACCACCAAAAGAACATTACGTCATGAGTTATTAGTATCATGTATTTTTAAATTATAGCTGAGAGAAATTTGAAATATCTCTCATTTTTGGAAAAATTCATAGATTTTTAGCTATTTCAAATATCCTGCTATTTGACACTCAAGGTTACTTAGTTTTTTGTCCAACGCTAGGTGTTGATAAAATTTAATATGAGACTTCAACTTCAGCTATATATGTTCTGTGGTCTTCAGCGTTTTTGGGAAGCTCACAATGCTATCGGGCTCATACTCATAAGTATGAGCCCGATAGCATTTCAGTCTTTCAGTCCAGCTTGACAAAGTTCCATGTTATTCTGTAGTTTTGTTTTATCACCACCAATGCATCTGGAGAGATTTTGCAATAGACGTTAAAATACATATTTAACATATTTATAATTACAGTTCAAACTACTTTAACAAAGTAGCCTGTCTACCATATCAATTCTATAAGTAAGTAAACTCTGAAATGTTGGAGAAATTTCAGGGTTTACTTACTTGAAATGTTTGGTTTGGAAGAGTTCTATGAAACATATTTGGACAAGGATGAATATCCTGCGTTTTACAAACATGCTCTGTCGATGGTTTGCTATGTGGAAACACTTATGCATATGAACAGCTTTTTAGTCGCAAATCACAAGTGAGATCAAATTACTGATGTTCATTTGGAAAACTGTTTGTGTGTAGCGACAACATCAGTGGAAATCAATTTTGATGCACTTAGTTCTGTAAAACAAAGTCAGATGTCTCACTTTTAAATATTTTTAAATTGTCTAATAAATATGTTTGATTCTCGGTTATGTTTTATTATCTTCAAAAAATAAATATACCTAATTTTTGTGTTTTTTTATGTTAAACCAGGCAAGTGTCTGACCATGATCTCACCTACTAGGAAGCGACGATGTGGTTGAAGCTGTAGCACGCTTGCTTGTTTACTTTAATTTAAAAATAAAAAAAAAATTAGGTGCGTGGCCCGGCAGAACATATTATTTCTGAAAAGGTTGGCCACCCCTGTTTTAATGTATTGTTAATGATTTTTAACATTACCAAAACAAACACTAAAACTGGAACTCTTTGACAGAAAGTATACAAGAAACTTTTCTCTTTTCAGAAAATATATAACACAGAAACAAATGTTTTTGGTCTGATTTATAGGCCTACATCTGTTTCACTAACATTCTAAATAAAAATTCTGTTTTGGCATGTTAAATTACAAATTCAAATTAATTTTTCAAATATATGAAAAAAATTTTAAAAGATGTTACTTTACATATATGTATTAATACATATATGTATTAAGACACATGTATTGTGTCTTAAATTAATAATAAAATAACTAGTTTTTATGAAAATAACATTAAATTGTTATTTTTTACCTCAGGTATGGGTGGTCATAAAACGACTGTCAGGCTGCCAATGACTCGCAATCTGTATGATTAATACAGTTCTTTTTAAATGTAGCTTTGAAAATTTCTAGAATTTCCAGAGCTCTCGTGTATTTTGTTGAAGTTCAGTTTAATTAATTGTGTTTTGTCAAGTTTGGACATCATCCCTGTTCCCTTGTGTATAAGGTTAAAGACATAACAGGCAGGCTTATTCTTTTCAATGCTATATTGATGCTCTTTGATTCTTTTGTTGATGAATCTATCTTTAGCACCAATATGTACTAGTTATTTAATTGTTAATTTAAGACACAAGTATTAATACATAGATGTAAAGTAACTATTTTAAAAATATTTCATTTATTTGAAAAATTAATTTGAATTTGTATTTCTGCATTCCAAAAAAGAAATAGGTCTATAAACCAGAAAAAAACATTTCTTTCTCTGTTTATATATTTTCTGGAAAGAGAAAAGTTTCTTGTATACTTTATGATTTTTAACATTTTCTTTAATTGTACAATTATGCAGTTATTGCAATTCCTGTAAAAATAATAAAGTTTTCATTATATTTTGGTTGATTAAATTTTTTCTGTTTGAATAATTTAAGAAGGTTTTAATTAGATTATATTGCAAATGGATACAATATGTGAAAGTTAATTATGTTGCTTGTATATTTCATAAATAATTTCATATAAATATGATTGTGATAGATTGTATAATATATAGTAAACCTCATTCTTGCAATCTAATCTTTTATTGACTAAGTGTTATAAATTGAGGTTTTATTTTTGGAAATACACTTTAAACTATTATATTGTATCCAAATAATCATTAAAAATATAAATTATCTATTATGACCATGTAAAATGTAGCAGTTGTAAAACAGAAATCTGTTGCATATATTTATATATTTGTTGTATTATACATGTAAATTGTAAAAAGTAATTCATATATTTCAGGTAAATGGAGAAGACTTAAGAACTGCAAAACATGATCAAGCTATTACTGCACTGCGTCAAACTCCACCAGTTGTACGGATGGTGGTGTATCGAGAGGCAGGACTAAATCATGAAGATGATTTATATGATATTTTAGAAGTTGAACTTCATAAAAAATCTGGCCGTGGTCTAGGTTTGAGTATTGTTGGTAGGAAAAATGGTCCAGGAGTATTCATTTCTGAAGTGGTAAATATTTTACTTTATATATAGAATAATAATTAACATACTAAATTTTTAATTGAATAATTGAACTTTAATAATATTTTATATTATTCAAGAAAAAGTAATTAGACTAGTCAATATATGTGTATGCACATTAGAAAAAAACTGGAAAGCTACAACAAAATGCAACTTGATCTAAAAACCACAAAAAATTATTAAGACAAATTTGTAAAGTTTAATTTTATATTACTATAAAGACAAATAAATGCATACAAGAAATTTTTATCAATATTTTAAAACGGAACGTTTAAATTTTTTCTTTTATTAAAAAGTTATATTTTAAATAGTAAAAACCAATTGTAAGATAAGCCAGGGGTTATAGGGGATGCCCTATTAACCACTTAATCGGAACAGATTGTTAAAATCCAACCTTGGTGTCGTCAGATGGTGATAGGAGGGCAAAAACAAGTGGGGAGATTAAAAGGTGTCCATGTGCCAAGAAAGACAGATTGGCAGGTTTAACAAGATAACAAAAGATTTATTATGTGATTAACTATAAGATACAAGAGGCTCCATATAGTTAGATAAATACAGGTTATATACAATTAAAAGCGGCTAAATGCGGTTACAAAGTATAACAATTCCAACGGAGCTACCCTATGATAGCTATGCCTAATTCAGTTGAGAGAGTTTGCAGTCTGCTAATAATTAGCTCTAATGTATAATATATATAACTTCTGAGTGCATACTCTCGAGCTTCTGGTAGCTCTCGCTTTTATACAATTGACATGGGAAAGGGGTCACGTGATCATCCATTGTTGACGATGATGATGCATTCTTGGCAGCTAACTGTCAACTTTTCCACTGATGTGTTGATATGACCGGTGACCTGCAATCTAATTCTTCATTTTTTTCAGGGGATGTTTACATTTCAAAACCTTACGATTAACATTAATTATGAAATCTTAAAAATTTGCGGGCTTACACAATTTTATATGAGGAACTAAACTAAAACTCAATTCCTGTTTACTATTAAATTATATTTATCATAATAATTTTTAATATGATACAAAGCTAGTATAAATATACCAAAATATAATGTTAAAAGTGACTGTTGAATGAGAAATTTGAATAAAATAGCCACAATAATCAGTCATAAAAAATTTCACTCTCATTATCTACTGAATGTAGAAAAAAATTTTTTTCATATATATTACATATAACCATTCAGAAAAAAGTTTTGTGATGAAAGTATTGTTATATGTAATGCAGATTTATTAATTATTTTGTAATTATTTTTTAAAATCTGTAATTTATATCATTGTTGAGAGGCAATGTATCACAGAATTTGCATTGATGTTACTTATTTTAAATTGTAAGCAGAAATTACTGTTATTATTATTATTACAATTTAATTAATAAATTAAAAGTTAGGAGCGTAGCAAAAGTGCCTAACAAATATAACAAAATAAAAACATAGTTTTTTTATACATATTTATTGTAATTATAATAAGCGATTATTTATTTTGATATTGTCTCAATGCCAGACTACAATTTTTCATCATATTTTTAATTTATTCAATTCAAAATATATGTTCTCCATCGCAAATTTGTAGTGTCTTTTCTCTGTATATCATTACTTTTCCTGACAACAACAGAGCCATGTCAGTCATCTATGTAATGCCATTTAGGGGAAAATTTTTGAACTGAATTCATGTGACTTCTGGTCTAGACTGGAAGTTTGTATATAGTTAATCATGTCGTCCTGCTCCTAAGCTTTCCATATCTAACTGTGTTAGATAGACTTTCATCTATCACAGAGATTAAGGAAGGACAGACAGATGATTGATATTTTATAGGTCTACAATTTTTTAAAATTGCAACCCAATAATAATAGATGATAATTTCTTTTGAAAAACTAAAATAGACAAATTTATAATTATAGTTGATTATGTATATGAAATATTCATCAACTATATTAAGCATTGAAAATATACCATTTAGAGAATTGATTTTGTTTAGAAAATATTTTTATGGCAATTATTAATAGAACTTTAGAATTAAGTACACCAGATAATTTATAAAAGAAAATATATGTTATGTAAGGATTAAAACACTGACAACAATTTTATTTTAAACTACACATTAATTTTCAATATTCCTTTTATTCTCTAAGTTGATATAAAATTCAACATATATGGTACAGATCCAACTAGATTCTTTATAAGCCATATAATACAAAATGTATAATTCATAAATGATAATGGTTAGTTGCAATAAATCTCCAAAACTGGGATAGAATAAACACACAAAATCAAACCAATACCAACAACTATGTAATTAATAAATAAAGAAATACAGTAGAGCATCGATTATCCGAATCAATTGGGGACTGGGGTTGTTCAGAAGATCAATGATTCGGATAACCGATTATGTACGGAAAAATATATTAACCTATCCCATGTTCAAATTTTTCTCCGTTGCGTGTCACTTTGCGTTGAATTTTCGTCGATGTTCAGCCTAACAAAGACTATTGTATCGTTAAAAATTATTTTTTTTATTTTGTACGAACAAAATAAATATATTGAAAAATATAAAAACAATAAAAAATTATACTTCAGAAGTTAATTTAGTATCAAAAACGTAAAATATTTGATTGCAGCACTACAGCACTGGCGAAAATTTAAATTTGCCGACTGGAATTCTTTTGGATGATTGACTTTCGGATAATCGACACTCTACTGTATTTACTAATGACTAATGTTTTTGTCCATCTAAAATATAAATCATCAGGCACATAACACAAAAAATTAATTTGAACGTGTAAACTTTTTGTATAACACATTTGATTTTAATGTAGCTGTTTTGTTCTGTGTTATGTATCTGATGATGTCTATTTTAAATGGACGAAAGCATTAGTAAATATTTTTTTATTTATTAATTACATAGTTGCTAGTATTGGTTTGGTTGTGGGTGGTTAGTTGCAATATACTATATCCCTTTCTTAATGCATGATTTGGTTAATGTGAGAAATTAATTGTGACAATCCTTTCATATATGTGACAGAATTTTTATTAACACTACCTTAACAGCTGTCTGTACTTAGCATAGATATGTTTTTATCCACAGATAAGGAGTTGGTGAATGAATATGCTATTTTCATGCTGAGAGTGATTTCCAATATAGATATATAGTTTAATTATGACAGTTGTGAAATTTAAGATGTTACTGCTAATCCATCAACCAAAGCCGAATATTATTGGGCTAGAAACGGGCTATAATAGTAATAATTTAATAGACAATTTGGTATTAGAATTATGCATTAGGTGTTATCTCTTGATAAATTTAATAATTATAAATTAATTAAATAATTTAAATATTAATTTTAGAATTACTGGAAGAAAAGAATCGGCCCAAAGTGGGACTCGAACCCACAACTCCTGCTTACCGGGCAGATGTGTTGCCATCTGCATGGAAGAGGAGATCAGACTGAAGGTCCGGGTACAGTAATTGGCAATGCATCTGCATGGTAAGCAGGAGTTGTGGGTTCGGATCCCACTTTGGGCCATTCTTTTCTTCCAGTAATTCTAAAATTATTATTTAAATTATTTAATTAATTTATAATTATTAAATTTATCAAGAGATAACACCTAACTCTAATGCCAAATTGTCTATTAAATTATTAGTATTATAGCCATTTATAGCCCAGTAATATTTGGCTTTGGTTTATGTATAGCTTTAAACTTATCGGGTGTAGTAAGGATGTTTGATTAGTTACTGCTAATGTGATATTGTATTATTTGTTTACAAGCTTATTTTAAAATTTTACATTTGGTTTGCATAAAATCAAATTGAAATGTCTGCAGTTAAAATGAATATCAGGCTTATTATGCATGCTTTTTAAGTTTTGTAAAGGATATAACACTATACAAACAATCAAAAATATTCATAGTGTATGGGGAAGATGATCCTAAATGTTAGACATGTCAAATATGGTTTTGAAATTTTGTTTGGAAAATTTTGAACTAAAAGATACAAAGCATACAAGGCACCCAAAAGCTTTTGATGAAGAGAAATTTCAAGAAGAAATTGTTAAAAATAGACAAGTAACAACAATTTGTAAATTTGCAATAAATCTTAGTATGTCACAAATATGATGATTGTATTTCACAGGCATTAAGTGGGAAAAACAAACTGAATCCAGTATAATTTTGTGTGATAAAGGTTGGCAACTCTAAGCTCTCATTTTATTTTTAAATTAGTTACTCATTTTTATCACAGAAAATTTTTTTACTGATGACAAAATTCAAATAAAAATATTTGTTATTAACCAAAAATTTGTTCTAGTGAGTGGTGACTGTTCGGTCAAGTACCAAGGTACCTATACCACTATGTTTGATTAACACAATTTGCATATATGTGGTAGGATCGAGGGATTATATTGATGACCCGATACTAACTGATCATATTTGTTACCTAGGTAACATCAATATTTCGATTATGAAACAAACAACTTTATTCAATAACATAAAGGGTTTGTCATTATTTAATTATAACAAAAATTTTATTTAATTAAGCACAAGAAGTGTTTGATTTAAATAAGCACATCAAATTTAGCATTATTTTCTAAATTTGATTAAGTTTGAGAAAATATTTTTATTTTCACTATGATTTAAATAGAGTTTTAGGAAAAGTTGTTAACCCTATAAGCATTTTTATTATCTTACCTTCTTCATTATTACTGTTACTATTTTCTTATCTTATAAATCTTATAATAAATACAAAATATTGTTCAGGAACAAATCAAAATAGTTTACATGAAGTAACCATACACAGTTACTTCATGCCATAAGTAATTGAGTATGATTATATAAGTTCTGGAAGTGAAGATTGGATGAAGGTCTGGATAGCATAACTGGAAACACGACTGCACAGCAAGTCTGGAAGAAAAGAATCAGTCCTGCTTTGAGCTGATTCTTTTCTTCCAGAACCTTCTAAATTAATTATTAAAATTAATTTAAATACAGTAGAGCAGTGGTTCCCAATTAGTGGTACGCGTACCCCTGGGGGGGTACGCAAAATTGCATGAAGGGGTACGCGCGGCAATCTAAACTCGGTCGATTTAAAATTTAAATGCATGAGATGGAGCAATCAAAAAAATAATGGGTGGACCATCAAAAATTCGGCAATTTACAACATGATGTGGAATGCACAAATTGTTTTATTTATAACTAAAAATATTCTCGAAATTTCATCAAAAAATGCATTTGTGACAATAACTAAATGAAATTCTTACGCAAGAAACAAAAATTGTACAATTAACACAATTTGTTTTCACGAAATTAATTTTGAAAATTTTTGTCGCTGTTATTTCTTGCGCGTGACAACGTGACTTCTTGCAGAGTATAATGAGACTTCACTGAGTTTAATAATCAGTTGCGACATTTCGCTTCTAAATTGGGTTAGAATTTATGATGTCAGCGAAGCGGCAATAAAATGTTTACTACCATTTTGCACAACATACCTCTGCGAGAGCGGATTTTCGGCCATGACAAACATGAAAACTAAACATCGTCACTGACTTCAACTCGAAGATGACTCGAGACTGAAGCTGACCAAAAAGCAACCAGATTTTACAAAGTTGTGCAAAGAAAATCGTGCACATTTGTCACATTAAAATTAAATAACCTTATGTTGTTTTCATTATTATTAGAATTGTATTTTAAAGGTAATAAATGTAAAAAGAAAACTCATTATATTTATTACTAGCTGTCTACCCACAGTTTTGCCCGCATTATATCGAATTTTCTCGTGGGAGTAAGATATGTTCTCGCAGTAAAATGTAGCCTATGTCCATCTGCAACATGTAAGCTATCTCTGTGAAAATTTTATTAAAACCTGTTTAGCGGTTTAGACGTGAAAAGGTAACAGACAGACAGAATTGCCTTCAAATTTATAATATTAGTATGGATTAATATGGATTTCTGCTATAAGGGGTACAAGAGTTTTAGCTCTTTCTTGAAGTGGTACGTAGGAAAAACTTATTGGGAACCACTGCAGTAGAGCATCGATTATCCGACTCCCGATCAACCGTCACATCAGTTAACTGATTGCGTTCTAGTCGGCAAATTCAAATGTCCGTTAGTGATGTGTCACTACAGTATTTGGCTAGTTTAATATTATTTTTGTTACATTTTTGGTGTTTTAGCTGGCAACACTAGCTTGACCATGAAAGGGATTCCAGTATTTAAACGAGACTTAATTTTCTAATTATGAGTGGTGGTTTGTTTTGTGAGCAATAAAATAATTTAAATATAATTTTTAATGATACAATAGCAATGATTATTATTTTAAAAAAAATTTTGTTAGGCTTAACATCGATGAAAATTCAATGTGAAGTAGGTTAATAGTGATATACTAATTACATGGCATATACTAATATACTATACTAATAATGTATTTTTTTCATTCTTTTCAGTTATCTGATTTTTCAGTTATCCGACAACCCCAGTTCCAATTGAGTCGGATAATCAATGCTCTACTGTAATAATAATTAAATTTAGCAAGAGATGGCACCTAACAACTGCCTCTAGTGTGAAATTACTTAACATTTGCTTAATAATAGTAGTGATAATATAACCTGATACAATTTGGCAATCATTTGGCTTAAAATATATTTTTATTACTAAAGATGCAAATAAACAGATATTTGAATATTAGAAACTAAAATGAAAACAATGACTAATGTTCTAACAAGACAGGAAAATCTTGACACATCATGCATGGGCACATGTTATGTTGGTCATATTTGTTGTAACATTTTGATTTTCTTGATAAAAACTGTTCATTGTGGCATACCTCACTGTACAGACATTCAAGTTCCCATTTATTGGAAATTTTAATGATTAGTGAATTTTGAATTATTTTATCAAAATTTATTAATTGGGCTGCAATTTGAAAAAATCGTATACCTATAAATTCCCACTGTCATCTGTCCTTCTGTCTGTCTTTCCTTAATCTTGAGAACAGAGTTAGATAGATGGAAGAAAAGACCAGATATAGAAATATTAGGGGCATGAGACCCCAATTAACTATATAGGAACTTCCAATGCAAACTGGAAGTCACGTTATTTTAATTCAAAACTTTTCTCCTGAAAGGTGTTAGATCAGGGGTGGCCAACAGTTTTTGCCCTGGGCCGAATTGGAAAGAAAACTTTTTTGACAGGCCGAACCTGAAGCTGCCCTAGGAAGATTTTGAGGTGGTGCGAGATCTCATTGTGGTGTCACCCCGTAGAGACTGAATTGTAGATAGAGATTACAGATACATTTTTCACATTATCATGCTTTATCAACATTCTTCACTGCACTTACAAGATTTGTAATGGAGGGTTAACTCTAAATACCCAGTGAGTTGTTGACCTTTTTTTTTTTTAGACGTCAGAATTTTTCATCGAGCTATATGGACTTAAGTACCTAATATTGAAATATTGATCATGGGCCATATGTTGGCCATGCCTGTGTTAGATAGATAACCAGCATGATTGTATTGTTAAAGGAAAAGTATGATGTAAAGAGGCAAGTCACTACTAATTTTAGAGAGAGAGCATTATATTTTAAGTTAAGTGAATTAAAAGTATGATTAAAAATTGCAGTCCAGCATTATGACAATGTCACAATAAATAATTGCTCATTATAATATAGATTTTGATATTTATATTTTTAAATCATAAAATCTCAAACTTTATTAAATATATAATTTATAATGAAGATTTATATTCATTTATATTCATTATAATTTATAATGAATATAATGATAAAATTTAAATGCTTAATGAAAAAACAATATATTAAATATTTTACATATTTTTTTTATTTGAAGGTTAAAGGAGGTATAGCTGAAGCTAATGGTCAACTTATGCAAGGAGATCAGATTTTAGAAGTAAATTTACATGATTTAAAAAATTCTACACAAGAACATGCTGCTGCCATTTTGAAGGTAACAATGATGTTTCAATTATACATATAATAATCAAATATTCAAATGGCTTTTAATGTTTAAAATATAAATTTTTTTTAGACAACAATGGGAAAGATAAATATGAAAATTGGTAGGTTAAAAGCAGGATCAAGAAGAAGTACTTCAAGCAGTCTTTCAAGTCCACAATTAGATGATAATACTGAAATGTAAATATCAAGTTTATATATATGTTGTTATAATTTTTATTATTTTTTTTATAAATTTCTTTTTAAAATCACTTGGAATAAATGAAGCTGTAAATATTGATGGTATATATGGTAAATTTATCAGAAGTATAAAATTAAATTTAATTGATAATTTAGTGTAAATATTTTAAACTTTTAAATTAATTGATGAAGTTAAATAATTTCTAAAATAAAAATCAGGAGTAAAATAGTAATATCGTAAGTCTGAAAAAAGGAATAAAAAATAGTATCCTTATTACATAAATTACTTTATCAAAATATTTTTTAATCAATAAACAGTGTCTCAATTATGGTCTTTCTATTATGTTCATTTAGAAAACATTTTCCAAATTAATCAACAACCTGGCTCCTGAGTTATATGATATTTAAATTTTTTAGTCAAATTTTTAATTCAAATTATCATATAACAATCTTATCGTTTAACTTTGTAATACATTTTTTCTTATGTGTGAATAACTTTGCTTTTCATTATTAACACTAGAATGACCATACTTTTGTTAGAGTTGGAACAGCTACAGTTTTTTTTTTACTACCCTTGCTATATATGTTCTTTAAAAGAGCAGAAAGATAAATATAAATAAATACATATTTATTTGTTAACCAATATCTGATAAGTATAACATTTCTATGAAATTGAAGTTAGTATAAAAATAAAATAAGCTCTGTATATGTAACTGTTTTAAGTTTTGGTTTTTGCTGCTCTTCTGAACCAGTTTCCCCTAGGCCATTATCTGAGTTGTCTAATGAGTGGTCTCCAAAGTAGGGTGCGCCAAGTTTCCCTTCAAAATACTACATGTTTGTCCTGTCTGCTGTCTGTCTAATCTTATAGTCATCGTCCCGAAGAAGTAGGCACATGATCACTTGTGATCATACACAGAAAAAAATTCAAATAGGGTAGCAGGAAATTTAGCAGGAATTATGTATTTATAGTGGAAATTTAGCAAATTTTTCTGACACAAAAAATATGAGTAATTTATTCCATAAACATAGAGGGGGTTACAACTTATAATTATTTTCATCTTAGGTGTACACAATCAAAAAAGTTTGGAGATCACTGGTCTAATGCATTACTGAGCACTAGTCAAAAGATTTTCTGTTGGTAACATCTGTATGGGATGACCCAGGACTATTTGCATCCGAATATCATCAAATATGTTGTAAAATACATTTATTGTCATTCTTGGGATGTAGCTCTCATGGAATATTTATTCACCTTTGATTTACAATATGTGCGCCAAATTTTGTAGTATTGTAAAATTATATATCTTCAGGAAGTTTTTTGTTTCCTTTGCATGTTTCATCATTTGGATGCAGATTGTTCAAAGCTAGAAACACTTTTTTTTTACTACTTTGAATATATAGTATGGCATGCATTACCTATCTCCAAGTTTTCAATCTTTACCAATAATTGCTAGAATAAGGTTTTTATAAGTGATTGTTACAGATTGAACTGTAACAGGAAAATATGCACAAACATGTCAGCACATATCAATAGCTGGACATACTGAAATTTTTACAACATTCACAGAAGTGCATGTTGTGAGTGCATATATATATGTTACTGCTAAAGTTCGAAAGTCATTAATGTGTACATTACCTAGCTAATCTGCAGATTAACTAGGGTGATCCGTTAAAGTTGTGAAAATTGTTCCATTTCTCAAATTACCTAGATAATGTGCAGAGTATCTAGGTCAGGGGTGTCCAACCTGCGGCCCAAGGCAAGTTCCAATGCGGCCCAATAAACGTGTAAACAAAACCGACAAATGTTTTAATTTATTATTATTTATTTATTTCAATGGCATAAACTCAAAGAAAAGTTTCACAAAGCCGTAAACCTTTATTCATATTTTATTTTTGAGTGGAAAGAAAATATTTTCAAATACTTGGAGATGTGTGAATGCGGAAGGATTACTAAATAAAGCTGGAGTTGTGACTCAATAGATTATAGACCCAAATTTGGGAAAAGGAGGGAAAGATGAGAAAGGACAAAAGATGTTGTAGTGAGAAACGTTAAATAGATTTTCTGTTAAGCAAATATGGACCTGTAAATTTTCAACCTTTTTCACTTCTTTATCTTTTGTCTTTGCCTCTTTTCCCCCGCACTTGGGTCTATAATCCTTTGATTCACAACTCCANCAATTTCTCTCTTCTTGTAAAGTTGTAATTATTTTAATTATTTTTATTTTCAAACTGATTTTAACCAGTTATATAGTAAGAAAACATTCCAATAGACAATATGCAAAGCTTTTTTTTTCAATTTACAGCAGTATTTATTACACAAAATTTAAGTAAAGCTTAACATGCCGATCTTGCCCCGGTCTCCCCTATAGGCCTATTATATATAGTTGTGGCCCAAAACTCTTTGACTTCTTCCAATGCGGCCCAGAGAAACAAAAAGGTTGGACACCCCTGATCTAGGTAATCCGCACATTACCTACTAGGCACTCAGTAAAGTGAAAATAAGATCTTTGCCACAAATAAATGTACCACAAATAGGTGTGCTTGTTGCAAAAACCAATTGCTATGAAATTCAAAGTGTCACCAATCTTTAGACTGCACTAGTAAGTAAGCACAATTCAGTTGGATAATGTTACCTATGGTGAGTAAAATGGCAGCTCATCTCTGATTCCAGCAAACAGAAGAAAGGAAACAGTGGGGACGCACGTTCTAACCTAACCTAACCTATTCTAATAAATTACCATAATTATTACCAACCAAATTATTAGAATAGGTTAGGTTAGGTTTGAATGTGTGTCCCCACTGTTTCCTTTCTTCTCTTTGCTGGAATCAGAGACGAGCCGCTATTTTACTCACCATAGGTAACATTAACTGCACAATTATATCATGAAATCACCAGAAAAAGTATGATAACTTTATTATTTTTCGTCTCCGGTCCAAAAGTAGGGTATCGTTGAAGTCGTATCGGTCCCCTCAGTTCGGATAGATACTCAGTCCCAAAATTTCATAGGTGGTTATCTATATAATAATTCCCGTAATTGTATTATTATTTTAAACCGTTTGATGTTTTGTATGTTTTTTAATTGGTTGATGATTGATTCTATCACCTAATTTGTTGATTATTTGATTGTATTAACTTGATTCTTTAGATATCGAAAATTAAATAAAGAATAATATGTTAATTTAAGCATACAGAAACGTTGCTGTTGTTCCAGCAAAGATCTTATTTTCACTTTACCGAGTGTCTAGTAGATAATTTGCAGATTACCTAGATCAGGGGTGTCCAGCCCGCGGGCTGCATGTGGCCCAAGGCAAGTTCCAATGCGGCCCAATAAACGTGTAAACAAAACTGACAAATGTTTTAATTTTTTTATTATTTATTTATTTCAACGGCATAAACTCAAAAAAGAAGTTTCACAAAGTTGTAAACCTTTATTCATATTTTATTTTTCAGTGGAAAGGAAATATTTTCAAATACTTGGAGATGTGTGAATGAGGAAGGATTACTAAATAAAGCTGGAGTTGTGACTCAAAGGATTATATACCCAAATTTGGGAAAAGAGGGAAAGGTGAGAAAGGACAAAAGATGTAGTAGTGAGAAAGGTTAAATAGATCTTCTGTTAAGCAAATATGAACCCTTAATTTTCCAACCTTTCTCACTTTTTCATCTTTTGTCTTTTCTCTCCTTTCCCCGCATTTGGTCTATAATCCTTTGAGTCACAACTCCAGCTTTATTTAGTATTTCTTCCAACGTTGCAAGATTTGGCTACATTGCACCAAATGTGGCTACTTTTTTTTTGTTTGACGTAAAAAATATCATTTGGCGCTTTGACTACTTTTTGGGTTACATATTATTTATAATTATATTAGTTGAATAAAAATGCACTTTAAAATGGTGTTTCGTCGCTTTTTATTAATTAGAGACCCAAATAAAACAAATATTTGTGTTTTTCAAATAAATTTTCGTTTGTCTTTTTTATAGTAAATGAATTTGTCTATTTCTAAGTAAAATTGAAAGTGTCTGTAGAAGTAATTTTTTAAAATATCCTTTTTCGTTATAAAGATTTAATACTTATTATTATAATCTAGATGTGTTAATCCTTTAGTATACTTGTATATTGGGCCACAAGTATATATAATATATACTTTTGGCCCAAAACTCCTTGACTTCTTCCAATGCAGCCCAAAGAAACTAAAAGGTTGGACACCCCTGACCTAGATAATCTGCACATTTCCTAGGTAATTTGAGAAATAGAACAATTTTAGCAACTTTAACAGATCACCCTAGTTAATCTGCAAATTAGCTAGGTAGTGTACACATTAACGACTTTCAAACTTTAGCGGTAACATATATATATTTATTTATTTACTCTTCTTTATTCATATATATATATATATTCATTGACAGAAAAGTTATGCACTCAGATAGAATTGTGTGATTACTGCAAAATTCAGCAGATATCTATTTCAGCTAGGTATGTAAACTATTACTGTTCTGGTTGCTAGGTAAAGCTACCACCAGAGTGTCTTAAAATTGCTATTTTAGTATCCTACATAAAGGCTCACTGTGTGCAGAATTTTCATTATACCTGTTGTGAGAAACCAGGGGTATAAAATTATTCTATGTACCACTTAACCCTGCGTTAGTGCACTGAGTTTTTTTTCGGCATTAGTGCAGTGGGGCGTTTGTCCACCCCAACATTTTTTTGGGTCTATAAACCATGTAAGTAAAAATTCATAAAGATTTACTCATTTATTTGGTAAAGGCATGTGTCATTATACATATGATTATATTCAGGTATGATTACATATTATATTAGTACATAAATCCACGAAAATAAAAAACAACATTTATCAAAACTCATTACATTAGATCTTATTATTAAACCAATAGTAAAAATCTAAATTGTTTTTTAAGCATTTTTGTCACTCTGATTCAATAGCTGACATTGTACTTTGGCACTCAGTGCAAATGACAAGCAACTTGCTATGTTTGGTATTTT